CTCTCTCTCTCTCTCTCTCTCTCTCTCTCTCTCTCTCTCTCTCTCTCTCTTCTCCGATGCGGACAGTCCGTCGTCGCGCACCAACCCACGAAGTCGTCACCCCGCTTAGTCCTCCCGCACCCGTCACGTTCGCCCGCGCCCACAGTCCGTCGTGGCCCGTGTCAACCCTGCGCGTTCGGCACCAGCTCGTCGGGTCGCCCGACTCCTGCTCTACTCACCTCTTACTTCGCTCGTGTGCCGATCCTTCCTGATCGCGCAACCCCGAGATTCCAACAACTGGTTAAGAGAGATAACTAATCGCGCAGCCGGAATTTATAGCGTGCATACATGCGCGAAGAACACGAAATTATAGGGAATTTGAAGAAAGGAAGGGGGAGGGATTCGCCTATGTGTGCATGGTCTGAACGCGGCGTGAGGGGCGTAGCCGCTCTCCACTCATTTATCCGATCATGCAGACTGCGGCTACCAAAAACGCAGCAAAAGAAAGAGAAGGAGGGCGGGAAAGACGAAGTGCAAGAAAGAGGATACAATCACAATGGCGCCCGCCCAAAATTACAGTTACGCACACGATTAAAGGCGCCTACTAATCAGAGTACCGTTGCAGCCGCATGAAGAAGCGCGTAGACAAAAGGCGCCGCGCGGCAAGAAAAATCCTAATTACTGAATTCCTAAATTTCTATCTAATGCGAAAAAGCAAAAAGCATAAACTTCAGAGGGAAAGTCCGAAATTCCGAGAGCTATCGGGGCTCGACAAAATTCGAAAAAGACTCAAAAAAAAAATTCAAAAAGAACGAAGCAAATTCCCGCGCGATGTCCGCGCCCAAAAGATCTAAAACCAAAACGAAAGAAATGACGTCAACGTTTATTAATCGCGCGCGCGGTGGCGCGCCAGCCATCCAGCCGACCAATCAATCAACCGGCCATCCCAGGACACACCCAGCTCCGAACCCAACCATTCGAAAAGAAGCGACGGAAAAGACGAAAAAGCAAGGACACTGATGCAATTTCCTACCGATCCCGATCTTCCGTAATTGGCCCAACCTTCCCAACTTAGGACCCCTCATTGCAACCGCGCAGAAAGTCGCGCATTACAGAAAGTGGTTCGTCACATATGTGACGCCCAGGGGGTTCCAATATTAGCAAGCTCCTGCTTGTTTGTTGACACGTGTCGATTTCTCTAATCGATCGACACGCGGAGCATCTCTCTCTATGCCACTTACCATTCAATTGAGTGTGGACGTCATCCAATGTGGCAGCACTGCTCTTCTACTAATTCCTCAGGGTGGACTTTCGACATTCCAAGGAGGGGGATTACACGTGCCGCTGTTATGACACGTGTCCATTAGCCATGCATCAGTGCAACAGGAGGGTAGACCCTAGACGTTCCCGGGAAATGGCAGTCGAATCATCGAGGGTGGAGGTGGCGGATGGTTCATGGGGAGAGGGGGCATGAATCGATTGATGGCGGGAGAGGCGAAATCAGGAAGGGTAGCGTAGTGGAAGGAGCGATGGATGCGGGGGAAGCGAGGGTCCTCATGAAGATGGCGAAAAGCGGCGATGTAGTCAGGGTAGATGGTAGAAAGGGTCCGTTGCAGGGCGGCGTGAAAATCTTCGTAGTTTTCGCAGGCGGGAATAGTTCCAGATATAATACAGTATATTTCTACGTGGTTATATTCCCGCCAGTCTGCGCTAAACAGGAGCACATGGAGGAGAAAGGAATCAACCACAGAGCCGGTGGTGGCATGCGGATAAACGGAGACGAGAAGGCGGGTAGTGTAGAGATGGTAGAAGAGGTGATGGGGGAAAGGACACCAACCATCGGGGAACGGGGGTCTATCGGGAAGACGGGTAAGCATGAGGTAGTCACGGGGTCGGCGAGAGAACGACCGGGGACGAAGCCCGAACGCCGAGATCTTGATGTAGACGAATGGAGGGTCGGGACGGGGAGCCAAAGGAAGCTGGCGATTCACTTCTTCTTCTTCTGCTCCGCGATCCCTCTGTTGTGGTTCCATTGTCTTCTTCTTCTGGCGGCTCCGGATCACACCACGGGTCCCCGATCGACGGATCGACAGGAGAAAAGTTTATCGCGGGTCGCTTTCCCTGCGCGGTCTCCTGGCGCTTCCATTTCCTTTGCCCTTGCGCTCGCTCTCGGGCCGCGTCGCGCACCTTGGCCTCGAATCCTTCGTACTCCGACTCCGCTTGCTCGCTTTCTTCTTCTTCGTCGTCTGGTTCTACCTGTTCCTCCTCTTCGTTCGTTTCCCGCGGCTGGCTCAATCCGTCGGCTATCCCCGCTTCTCTTTCCGGTACGTAGTCTGGATCGTCCCGTTCTTCGCCTGATGGCTCCTCTTCTTCCTCCTCTTGCTCTGCTTCCCCTATCTCCTCGTCCTGCGCCGCGTTTCTCCTTGCGATCGGGTCCCAAAATGTGAGATCGGTAACGTCGATCTCTAAGTAAAGCACGTGGGAGGGGTAGAGACAGTTGTCCTCGTCAATCTTCGTACACGTGGACCACACAAGGTGCGGTTCGAGCGTTCGAAACAGCACGTGGGGGCCAGGCTGCTTGTCACTGTGTGACAAGATGTCCAGGGGCAGATCGTCCACCAACTGAGTCAGAAATACCAGCAACTCGTCTTTGATCAAGGTGAGATTGCCCTCCTCCACCTTCCCGAATACGATTCCTAGCAGGTCGCCCTGCTCCGCCGTTCTCCAGGCTTGGATGATCAAAAGCTCCACGCTGTCTTCCGGCTGCTCTGGTCCTTCTCCGAACGGGGCCGCTTCTGACCAACGGAACTCTATCTCCAATAGACAGAAAGCGAGCTCAATATAGTCCTCCCACCACGCGTCCCACTTCTCCTCGCTCAATAGCGGCGCATTGTTCTCCTTAACACGGTAGGAGAGAGTAGGAGCCCACGCAGACTGCCAAAGGGTGGGGATGCTGGAGGGGAGACCGAAATAGGAGACGCGACGATGACTCATTGGGGCGGCGCGAAAGGATGAAGCTCTAGGAGCACGATCTTTGGCGAGCTTCGAGACGAGCGGAGCTGGAAGTCCGTGTCATGCGTCGGCACGACGGTGTCCCCTCGCCGAGCCAGGAGATCGGTCCACGTTGTCCGCACTTCTTCAGCCCAGGTGCGCAACGTTCGATAGATGTTAGAGTGAATCTCCGGCGGAATCGCTGTGATATCTCGTGTAAAGACGACGACGGCGGCGATATGGCTAATCCCGGGAAGAGATAGACGTCGAAAGGCCGAGATCTCGGCCAGAACGCGCGTAGTTGCTTCTTTCGTGAATCGAAACTCTGTCGCCGCGTAGATCGCCGACATACTGAAGAAGTTGCAAGTCGGAGGAGATCAGAGCAGATATGGGGCCGCTGCACCTGCCGTATGACACTGATTCGCCCCCGCGGAGTAAGAAGCCGCGTGCCGATCACTTACTCCGTTGCAAAGCTCATGGCGATGGTGACGAGGTAATAGAGAGGGAACAGGAAGGAGACGGAGAGATAGGAGATAGACAATCGTCGTCCTCTTCCGCTGCGGAGGAGGAACCAGATGAGTGTGAAGATGGGGAAGGAGGAAGGGGACAGAGGTAAGACACATGGCGGATGATCGGGTGAGCCGATCGGCTGCCGGAGACCTCATACGCAAGCCGCACGGTGTTCACGCCGTTCGGTCCGAGTTCGATCACGCGAAATCGCCCGAAGAATCGTGGCGCTAACTTACCCTGGCGAGCACATTTCCTCACCTGCGATGTCCCCCAATTTGTACTGGGGCCGTGGACCCGCGTTCCCGTTCCAGGCCTCGTAGCTTTGGACCTGTCGTCCTTGGGCCAATTCGATCATTCTGTGTCGTTTTCGGGCTAGCCTGGGCAGGGACCGTTCCATTAGTTCCAAGTGTCGTTTGGCCTTGTCCCAAGCCGTGGCCCTGGTGGGTCTTCGGTTCAGTGTGGATTCATCCGGTAGGCTTGGTATCGAAACGCAAGTGACGCTATTGGTCCTTAATTGGAAGGGATTTAGCCCCATCGATTCATGAGCTGTACCGCGATGGACCGCCAGGATGTGGTGGACGATATCGGGCCAGGGCCTCGGATCCCGTGCCACGATATTCCATCGCAACGCTGTATTTATCACCCTGTTCGCGTTTTCTACCAGCCCATTGGACTGTGACATGTGGGGTGCAGTGTTCCGTATGGCGACGCCATGCATGACCACATTCCTCAGTACCTCTCCCCTAAATTCAGCCCCGTTATCGGTCAGGATCTCTTCCGTATCCTGGTGCATCCCAAGAAAATGGTTGACGTATCGCGTGATTTCGGCGGCTTGTCGTGTGCGACAAGGGTAGGCCTCGATCCATTTCGAAAAGTGGTCGACAAATACCAATAGGACTGAATACTCACAACTATTAGGGCCAGGGGGCACCACTATGTCGGTAGTGTCCATGCAGACTCTTTGAAATGGCCGTTCAACTACCGTTGGCACTATCGATCTTGGCGGTTGAATCGGCGCCTTATCATCGGCACAGACTTGACAGTTGGCGACGATGTACTTCACATCGTCGCGGATATTGGACCAGTACCACTATTTTTTGTTGATAGCCGACTCTGTGATCCGTACGGCGAAATGAGCCGCAGTTTCTTCATGTGTCGTCTTAACCCAGTCATACCTCATGAACAGGTGCGGTACAACCATCCAAATCTCACTGCCTTCTGTTTTTCGTTTTTCTAATCTGCCCTCTATCCATCTGTAATCCCGAGCCCTCTCGTTGGCCCTCCTCCGATCTTCTTTGGTGGAATCTTGGAGGGGGTTGCCAACAAGGGTGGCAATCAAGGCAATATCAGTCCATACTTCGGCCCTTCTAAATTTCCGGGTTTTTTCCAACCCTTCTGACGTGGCATCCAAAAAGCGAGCCTCGGTCGGAATCTTGTCAGTCCGACACAAGGAGCACAACCACGGTTTACTATCGTTTCTGTATTGGATGCACGAGCCATGGGCTCGTGTGACACAATGTCAACAATCTACCCAGTCCGCATACCCTTCCCCGTTAGGACGCATGGAAACCGAGTACACGCGGGAGATAGCTTTGCAAAAATAACAAAATTTGTCAGGCAGGGAGAGGAGAGACGAAGAGGAAAGGGGAGAGAGAGGGGTAGTGGGGTTACCTCCATCACCCATTGCCACCATTTTGCTTCTTGCCACGTGGGAGAACTGCCACTTGTCCGTACTTAGGCTCGTTGGTCAAGTGCGGCTCTTTCCACGGTGTGATCTCCTCGCCCTTTGGTACCTTGGCAGGTTGGTGCAGACGTGTCAGTCCGTCCGCGTTGCCGTATCGCTCTATCTTTCGATGGACGATATTGAAGCCGTATTCTTGTAGTCGCACCGCCCAACGGCCAATCATAATCGTGTAATTGGTGAGTTTCTTCAACGCCAGCAAGGGTTCGTGATCTGTTACGAGGCGAAACTTTTGTCCGTAGAGATACGGATGGAAGTGCTGGATTCCCCAGACTACTGCATAGCATTCACCTTGAGGTGTTGAGTCATTCCTTCGCTCGTCCGTCAGCTCGCGCCGCCCAACGGCCAATCATGCCCGTGTAATTGGTGAGTTTCTTCAACGCCAGCAAGGGTTCGTGATCTGTTACGAGGCGAAACTTTTGTCCGTATAGATACGGATGGAAGTGCTCGATTCCCCAGACTACTACATAGCATTCGCCTTGAGGTGTTGAGTCATTCCTTCGCTCGTCCGGTACCGTGCGTGACGCGTACTCGATGAAGTGTTCACGACCATCGTTCCCATTCTACACTAAAATAGCGGAGATAGCTTCCGATTGCCAGTCCGTGATGAGAATAAATTGTTTCGAGAGGTCTGGCCGAATCAAAATAGGGGTCATCGCCAGAGCGTCTTTGAGGGTTGTGAAAGCCTGTTGGCACTCCGCGTCCCAGGTGAGAGGTTGGTCCTTCCTTAGCAGGTTCGTTAGGGGTCATGCAATCGCGGCGAAACCCCTGATGAAGCGACAATAGTACGACGCCAACCCTAAGAAGGCTCAAACCTACGTCAGCGACGTGGGAACTGGGGCTTCTCTCACCGCCGCAACCTTTCTTGAGTCCGGCCGCAGTCGTCCACGTGTCACGACGTAGCCCAAGAACGAAATTTCCGAAAGGAAAAACTCGCTCTTCTCGAGCGCGATCTTGAACCCAGCGTCTCTCAGCGCTCCCAATGTCCACTCGATGTGTTGCGCGTGCCCGTGATAGGTCTCAGAGTAGACGAGGATATCGTCCATGTACACGATTACACAGAAGTTGATCATCCCCTGTGTTAGCCGCGTTTTATTGACCGAGTTCTGGAATGTCATGTTCATCGCTCGCTGAAACGTGGCAGGCGCGTTATAAATCCCCATCGGACACCGAACCCACTGCCACGTGCCTTCAAACAATACGAAGGCCGTCTTTGGCCGATCTTCCTCCTTCACCAGAATGTGATGGAAGTCATTCCGAATATCAAACTTGTTGAAGTAATTAGCGCAACCAATCGCATCCAACAAATCATCAATTCGGGGGAGGGGATACACATCTTTGATCGTGATTTCATTCAACTTGCGATAATCGATGCATATGCGAATTGATCCGTTTTTCTTCGGCACCAGTACGACGGGAAATGACCATGGTCCGGTGGCGGGTTCAATCCACCCGCTGGCTTCGAATTCTCGAATTCGTTCGAGAGCCTTTTTGCGCTCTATCAGGGAGTATCAGTACGGCTTACAATGGATCGGGGAGTGATTTTCCGTTTGTATTTCGTGTTGAATAACTAACGACGGGGCAATGTCAGTGTCTGTCACGCTAATCGCTCCCCGATATTCCGTCAAGATGTCCGCAATCAATCGATGAATTTCATCGGGTACGTACTGTGGCACGTGTAACTCGAAAAGTTGGTCCCCGATCCGTACATCTATCTGTTTTGGGCGTGCAGGTTTCTCCACATCGGGCGGGGGTGAAGAAATGAAGGAGTGATCCGATCGCCAGGAGAACACTGTGGCCATCATCTGGGCGTCTTCTTCCCGAATGGCCACGTGTCCTTCTGGGGTGATTCCGTCACAGACATCCTGCCATGGTACGGTTTTGGTCGAGATTTTTATTCCAAGTTCATCTAAATCAGCTTCAAGACGCCCAGGGGGTTCCAAAGAATTGACTTCTGCCCCCAGGCGCAACAGTCGCACTTCTTTTGCAGGTGTCAAGAGGGACCTTGGTAGTTCCGTAATGTCGCAGTAATGCTTTTTGTCGATGTATCGGGAGAGAAGCGGGGTGATTCCTTTGTACAGGGTTTGAGGGGGTTCCAAAGAATCGACCATCCTCGAAATCTGCACGAGGGGTTCACCCAAGATCATCGTCTTGGTCCTTTGAATGTTCCGACTGGTCAGATGCATCGTTCTTGCTATCGTTCTGGGTGGCGGGTAGTAAACACGCTGTCGTGCTAGCTTTGAGATTTCCGGATCGTCCTCATCACTGTTGTCCGCATCATTCGTCGATGACTTTCCATCTACGGATTCATCCCAGGAGATCATGCGGAGAGTCCCTGCCATCATCGGCGAAACCCGTGGTACTGCGTTGGTGGTGGTACGAAGGGTTAGCCTCATAGGTACAACATAGGGCTTTCCTCCTATATTTCGGAGGACGATCGATCGTTGTTCGAAATCCAGGTTTGCTCGTAACGCTACAAGAACAGGAAGTCCGAAAAGGACGTCGTAGGTATTCACATCTAATACGACAACATCTCCCGGTGCATGCACCTTTCCTAGTCGAAAAGCGACATTGGTCATCCTGCCTACTGTTTTAATATTTTCTTCGTCGGCCAAAATGAGCCGATCTTTCTCGGAAAGCATGATCATATCGTTTTTCCTTCTTGCCCTTTCGACCACTCTTAGCGAAATAGCCAACATCGCCGCTCTCGAATCTATAATTTCGTTGTAAGGAATTCCCCAAATTTCAATATCACATTCTGCGGATTTCCGCGGGATGGGTTTAATCCGCAGGAAATGATCGTCTT